CGTCACCCTGGAGAGCAGTAGAAGGCGCCGCGATCCTGCGGCCACCCTCCTTCTGGGGGCGCCCGGTGGCCGGGGCTGGCAGCTCTCAGAGACGGCTGGGAGGACCGAGAGCCTTCGTCAGAGGCCACAGGGAGGCGAACAGGGGGTCGACTATATGGCATGCCCTTGGCGGAGATCTGGCGCTCTCCACCACTACAAGGTCAGCTAAATAGGTGTGCAGCCTCCTGGGAACGTCCAGCGTGGGGCTCAACCGCCAAATAGCCACGAACTCATAAAGCGAACCACGGCGAGGACACCTAGCGCGGCTACACCAGGACCACAAGACAGCGGTGCATCCAGCACCGCGATTCAACTGCGGAGGCCGAGGTCAGCGGTACCCGCAGGGGCACAGGAACACGTGGGTCACGCTGTGCAGGGGCCGGGTCCTGCTGCTGAGGTGGGTAAGTAGGGAGTTACCCACGACCCCCTCCGAGGTGTCAAGAGCACAGCCCACGATGAACAGAGGCTTGCAGCACCCCAGGAATGACCGCCCAGGAGGAAGCCTTTGCCTTTCGAGCGGATGAGTGGCCCCAGCAGCCGGTCTGGGACGCACAGGCGGCCTGGGAGCCAGCTCAACCTAGCAGGGAGGGAGGCTCTGGTGGTGGCGCCTGGTGTGCTGGCGCTGCACACAGGCCCAGCAGGGCTCCCGGGTTCCCCTGCAGCTCTCCTCTGAACATGTGATCTTCCTCAGCTCCGAATCAGAACGCCTCCTTCGCCACCAGATTACCCTCCCATGGGCAGCCCGGGTGGAGCCTAATTCCCGGCAGGCAGGTGGAGGCCGAAGAGTTCCGAGTTCCGGCCAGGTCATTTTGCTTTGGCCCAGCTGCACCGTGAGACTGCTCCTTGTTAATCTCGCTCTAGGTTTTCGGAAGACATCCCCTCCTCTCCCAGAAACTAACGTTGATGTGTCAGTGCCACAAGCTCTGTAGTTATGTCATAGAAAGGGTTTGCTGAAGGAGTCTGGGATAAGAAGAAACTAGGGTAGAAGTAAATAGGAATTGAGGTCTGTCCTTAAGAGTCAGTTATTGGCCCTGTGCGGTGGCTCAGGCCTGTAATCCCAGCACTTTGGGAGGCCAAGGTGGGTGGATCACGACATCAGGAGTTCGAGACCAACCTGGCCAAGATGGTGACACCCCGTCTCTACTAACAATACAAAAATTAGCCGGGTGCGGTGGCAGGTGCCTGTAATCCCAACTACTCAGGCTGAGGCAGGAGAATCGCTTGAACTCGGGCGGCAGAGGTTGCAGTGAGCCAAGATCGCACAACTGCACTCCAACCTGGGTGACAAAGTGAGACTCCGTCTCAAAAAAAAAAAGATTGCCATTGAAGGTGCTTACCAGTGCTCCAGTTTTCCACCTGTAGCTACTCCTGGGTCTTCTTTCTAAGGTCAGTGTGCCCCTAGCATTTGCCCTGCAAAAGGCAGTGGCTTCAGAAGGACAGTCCCCTCACAGGAACCTGCTTGTGGGCATACGGGCAGTGGCCAGGCTACCATATCTGACTGCCAGGGCATATCATGATGCAGCACTGCACCTCCTACCCAGGTGGTGGGCCAGCATTCTAGGAAGAAGACCCCAGAGGGACTGTGGTATAGGCTAGGGGGGAAAGCCCAGTGCCTGACTGCTAACCTAGAGCTCAAACCTGGAGTCTTTGCTTAATTTTTCCAGGTCAAAAGAGTGTTTTCATTGCTTGGCAATAACTGGGCGGGAAGCAAAGAGGAGTTTCACCGTATAGCTTTCCATTTTTCATTGGACGTCATTTCAGAAGGAGGAGATGGGTCCTGAGACCAGGGGATTTAGTCATCAGCAAGTTAAGAAGAGGATATTGTGAGAGCTGAGGGAGGCAGAGAGGCAGAGAATGCTTAAAAGCAGAGACTGTTTCTCCTTTGCTTTTTTTTGACTCCAGTTTCTTTACTCCAGCACCAAACATAAAAACGAAACACATTTGACCTTTCATTGTTAGGCTCCTCTGGAGAGCTCTCTGTGAGACTTATCAGGTTGACAACCCTGTGGAGAGTCTGTGCAAACTCCCGTTATCCACCTGAGCCTGGAGTTTCACTGCAAAATGACCAATTGTGTGAACTCCGAGAACCCACAGTGGGTGGGAAATAACACGCTGCAGCCTTGTAGGAGCTCGGTGCAGACTGCCTTCTGCAGTGGAATTAGCCAGGGTTCTAACCATCATCTTTCACTTTGTAGTGATTGACCAGGAGATGGGTACTTGAATCCCACCAGTTCCCCTTCACTGAGGCAGAAGGGGCTTCAGAGAGGAGATATAGATAATATGAAAAAGTAGCAGAAAAAGGCATGAAACATAAAGTGTGGGAAAGAGAGGAATTGTGTTAAAAGCAAAGAAAATTCAAAAACCTGTGAGAGGAGTGCGTGTTCAGTTTTCAAAATAAGACTCTGCTTCCAAAGATTGATAGGAAAATGTGCAGTCTTAACAAGATTGTAACTCTCATCCATCCAAATATTTTACATTTCCCACATCTGTACACTAGTTTCCTTTGCAGGATAAGTGGGTCGCTGAAAAGGTATACATATGTCCATTTTTAGGTGGTATTTTAGGTGTACCGAAAAATCTTTGACATCATGAACATTTTAGAAACTTCATGATTTTGCTTGTAGACCCACATGTGGGATGTTAGACCTTCCCAAGTTATATGTGAGAAATGGGTGATAAAATGCAAACATTTAAATAACTGATATTTGATGGTATAGAAATTAGGCATGAAGTTCTCATTTTGATGGACCCATGGATTTAGGCACATGCAGTCTTGGGGAGTAGACAGCTTGATGCCATATATTTAAATGCTGGCCTTACTGAGGTTGGGGGCAGGGAGTCACAGAAGACCCAGAATGAACAGTTCATTTCTGGAATAAGGTGGAGTTGACAAATCTAGATGGAGTAGCCTGTTTTCCTTGACATGATTTATCCTTGCTTTGACTCTGGCTATCCTGAGGTTGTGGAGTTACCCCATGTGTATAACTGGCTTGGTTTATTAATCCCGTGACTGAAGACTGTGCTGATTTAGTATTTATTGAGCTCCCACAAAATGTCAAACAGTATAAACCCCAGCATGTAGAGCTTCACATGTGATTCAGCAACATGTGCATTTTACACAGCAAAGACATCAACGCAGGGAGGTAAATCAATCAAGAACCTGCCTTGGGAAACAAAGGTGCTCCTGACCTCTCGTCTGTGAGGGGACAGGCCCTGTGTTCAACCCCAGATCTAACCACACTCTTGAGGTTAGTTTTGTGCCTTGCATTTGAAAGACTACTAGATGTTCAGGAAGGAAATCACAGGACAGAGGTGGTGGGTTAGCCTACCTGAAAAAACAAACCTGGAACTTAGCTATCCCAGTAAAACAGCAGATTGAAAATTCACAAGGACAAAAAATCAGATGGTTATAGGAATTGGAATCATTACCTTAGCATCTCTCACAATTGCTATTTCCAGGTAGCTGTTGGAGCATACATTGAAACGCTCTTCTGCCAGTTTAGTGAGATAAATCTATTGAATGGCTGCCAAAAGTGAGACCTGGTGACAATGCTTGCAAAGAGGATTACAGAACCTCCCATCAGCTTTGAGAAGGGCTGCTGCCAAGTACCACTGACTCAGTTCCCAGTTTGCCTGCCTATATTACTCCTTGCAGGAAGAGCCCTATGTATACATCTTAGATGCTTGATATTAACCAAAATGAATTATTAAATTTTTCTACCTACAATCCTATGCAGTTCTCTCTGGGACTCACCTCTGATTTTTTTTGAAATTTGGTTTGATTTATAAACTAGTCCAAAACAGATACCAGATGTTGTGAGAACTGCTGTTCAGTTGCCAGTTTACATAATATATAAAGATGTTTATAAGCACAACCTAATTCTCCAACCTCTTTAGACTGTTTATAAAGTTCATGTAAGTGTTTCAAACTTAAGTTGTAGGCATGACAGAAACCAGTGGCAACTTTTCCAGTAGTTAATGGAGATGCTTGTTCTTCATAGTTGATATAAACTTAAGCTAATCAGGGAGCACTTTTTCTAATACCCTGACAACCAGGATTCAAAATAATTCATGCTATGTAAATTATTTTTGGTTTTTTGTTTGTTTGAGACTAGGTTTTGCTCTGTCACTGAGACTGGAGTCAGTGGTGTAATGACAGCTCACTGCAGCCTAGTGATCCTCCCAGGCTACAGTGATCCTCCTGCCTTGGCGTCCCAAGTAGCTGGGACCTCAGGTGTGCACCATCATGTCCAGCTATTTTTTGTAGAGATGGAGTTTTGCCGTATTTCCCAGACTGGTCTTGAACTCCTGGGTGCAAGCAATTCTCCCCCTTCAGCCTCCCAAAGTTTTGGAATTACAGATGTGAGCCATGGTACCAGGCCATGGTATGTAAATTTATAATACAATTGAACTAAGGTTGAATGATGACATTCCTTCTGACTTGATTGGACTGATACAAAAGAAATATGTAAGTAAACTGTTGAATGAATCCCTATATATTTGGATTTCAATAATTTGCCTCTGATTGAGCAGGTATTGTCTGAAGACTAAAAGAGTATTCTCTAAGTATGACATGTAACACCATCCAATTCAATTCCAAATTATTAACACCTTTCACAGGTGCAACTAAAGCTTCATTCGGACGTTTCTAAGATTCATTAGAAAGAGGATATTTCCCCACCCCCACCCAACCCCGAGACGGAGTCTTGCTCTGTCACCCAGGTTGGAGTACAGTGGCACAATCTCAGCTCACTGCAACCTCTTCCTCCCCAGGTTCAAGAAATCCTCCGGCCTCAGCCTCCTGAGTAGCTGGGATTACAGGTGTGCACCGCCACACCCGGCTAATTTTTGTATTTTTAGTAGAGATGGGGTTTGACCATGTTGGTCAGGCTGGTCTCAAACTCCTGACCTCGTGATCTGCCTGCCTTGGTCTCCCAAAGTGCTGGGATTACAGGTCTGAGCCACCACTCCTGGGCCTAGAAAGGATAATTCTTAAGGTGCTTAATTTTGGTTTCACATTAAAATCCCCTGAAGTGCTTTGGAAAATGCTAGTGTCCAGGCACCATCTCAAATCAATTAGACTCTTAGGAGGAGGGCCCAGACATCAATTTAAAAAAAAAAAGTTCCCCAGGTGATTCTAGGAGTAGCCAGGGCTGAGAACCAGTGATTCAAACCTTCCAACAAAGAGCCCACAATGAATCAGATCCCTCCCCAAATAATCCCTCTCCTTCCCCCTACCACCTACACTCTCCACACATGACCATCAAAGGAACGAAAGGGAATGGGAAATGTCTGGCCCTGAGCCTCCCAAGTAATAGAGCTGCTAGAAGCAGAGAAGTTATCCTCAGGATGCCTGGGAGATGAACTCATCTGGGGTGGGGTGGGCTGCAGTGTTAGCACACAGGTTCTTTGTTCTCTAATCCATGGATGAAGCTCAAGTTCATTTAGCACCATTGCCAGAGATAGCCTCCATACCATCTTTGTCTGCCTTTTCCTTTCTCCCAAACTAGCCTTTCCTACCCTTTATTGTGTGCAAAAAGTCTAGCCCAGTAACTACTAAAGACTCCTATGCTAACCAGCCCAACCGTGATCACTCCCACTCCCACCGTGGTTATTGACATGAATGTAATAGGACTAAACACTTGTCATTCCTGTATCATCCCTCTTTCCTTTTAGTGCACATTTTAATGAAGGAATGAGCTTATTTCTGAGAATAAGAGAAGCAGGAGGAGGGAAACAGTGATTCTTGTGTTCAGTGAGTTGGGAAAGTAGTTGAACCTTACGGATGGTGACTGAGTTACTGGGAACACAGAGGCTGATGTGACAGCTGGATATTATGTATCATTTCCCAAGACTCCTGTCCTCACTGCCCGAGTTGCTGTTCCAACAGTGTGGAGACCCTTGTCCCAAGGCACTTGTCCTCATTTACAGAACTCACAGGAGGTTAAGGTGATGATTATCAGCCTGGTATCATACTCCACAGTCTTCACCTGTTCCCTTAACCCTGGAAGTAATTAGTGTTTGATCTACACAGCATGTGGATGGTAGCTTATTCTTCTGTTCTGTCCTTAAGTAAACTTCTGCTGGTTCTTGATTTCTGGGTTGATAATGTTCCAAGAATCACTACAGAGCAGGTGCTGAGCAGTCAGATGACAGCTGTTGATCTGTTGCAAGTGAGCAATTAGAGACTGCAAGAGAATGCCATGCCACACAGTTTACATTGAGTATTCAGAAAACCAAATATTTGAGTGCCCACTTTGTGGCAAACACTGAATGTGTACACACACATACACAAACACACATACACAGAGGATGTCTGTCCTTATGTACAATTAAATGCCCTCTTAAGTGAATTGGACCTTTTCCTCTTTATCTGTTTTTATCTATCTCTTCATTGACTAATTCGTCTCAAAATTTTTAGATAGTAGTTGGGGAGGAAAGGGGAGAAACAAAAGCAAGACCTTTCTAAAGGGAGCTTGTAGGTGTTTTTGTACTATAAACTCAAGTGGTTTTAAAAGGACCCTTTGGGCATATAAAGGTCTTATTCAGGAAATGCAGAAATCCTAGACGTAGATTTTTAATACATATTTACCTGAAATTCTAGAAATGCAAGGGTTCAAATGCACTAAGCAATATCAGGATCCTCTCAGCTGAGTCCTTTTTCTGAAGGCAAACTGAAAATCTTTACCAAGCCCAACGCATTTCTTTTAAATCCCATTCACACTGTGCATTTCACCAATGAGCAGGAGGAGGGGATGCCAGGAAGGCAATCATGGTTCTGAAATACTTTTCTGAACATGGAGAAAAAGTTTTTGTTTGTCCTTCAAGGGCATAAAGAAGAAATAATAAATCCTCTTCCCTCTCTCTGGCTTATCCCCAAGCAAAGAGCAAGACTCTCACCAAAGCCCACTTAACATTTTACAAAGACACAAGCACAAGACAGACAGCCGGACAAGAGGGCTGGGCTGGAAATGTTGCCCTCTGTTGGCTTTGCTAGCTCTGGTGCTGAGAATAAGCTCTCCAGGTTGACCTCGAGTGGTGCCCTCGGAGGCCAGTGGAAATGCAGCTCCTTGACCAAGGCCTGGCTAAGTGGCATCAGATGACCACGCTGACGGTCATATTCTGGCCATGGGGCGCGATCTTGCGTGGCCAAGCGAGCAACAGTTTGCGCAGCTCCTCGCGGAAGCTGTCGTGCAGCCAGGCGTAGATGAAGGGGTTGTAGCAGGCCGAGCTCATGGCGAGCCAGTGGCAGAGCAGCTGCACCAGCCCAAACGCGTAGGGGTCGATGGCGCGCGGGTCGAGGTCCCGCAGCAGGTTGAAGATGTGTAGCGGCAGCCAGCAGACGGCGAACACCACCACGACCACTACCAGCAAGCAGAAGGTGCGCCGGCGCCGCGCGCGGTGCCAGTCGGCCTGGCTCTGGGTCACGCAGCCGGGCACCACGCGGTTGCGGAGCTTCACGGACACCCGGACGTAAGACAGGAGGATGACCAGCAGAGGGAGCAGATAGGTGACCAGCAGCAGCCCCCAGGCGTAGAGCTGGCGCTGGCGCTCCTGGGAACCCCAGAACTCCTCGCAGAGGCGCACGTCGTGTGGCTTGAGCTCCACGTGATAAGTGTGCATGGCAGCAGGCAGCGCCAGCACCGCGGACAGCGCCCAGATGGCCAGCACCGCGTAGGCGCTGAGGCGCAGCGAGATGCGCCGCCGCAGCGGGTGCACCAGCACGACGTAGCGGTCCACTGCGATGGTGGTGAGCGTGAACACCGACACGTAGACGGTGACCGGCTGCAGGAAGAAGACCAGGTGGCACAGGCCGCCGCCGAACACCCAGCCGCGTGGCTCGAAGGCGTAGGCCAGCGTGAGCGGCACGCAGGCGGCGCACATGAGCACGTCGGACAAGGCGAGGTTACCGATGAGGAAGTTGGTCACGTTGTGCAGCCGGCGCACCCGCGCGATCACCAGCACCAGCAGGCAGTTGCCCACCAGCCCCACGACCACAACGACGCTGTAGAGCAGCACGATCAGCCCCTTCAGCTGATGCACCAGCTGCAGGCTCTGGAAGGGCGTGACGGCCGGAGCGTCCGCGCCAGCCACCGACCCGTTGCCCGCCGAGGCCTCTGCGCTCTGGTTGGCGGGAGTTGTGACCGCCGGCGGCAGCGCAGAAAATAAGTCAGAAACCCTGGGGCCCCGAGTGGGCGATGAGGCCATGGCCACCTGTTCGAAGGTAATCAAAGTCCGTCACTTCCCTTCCCATTCTCCATCCGACCTCTTACACCAGCCGCACCCCTCCCCCATCGCCCGAGTCCTCCCTTGGGAATAACCGGCCACAGAACAACAGCAAAAGTAACAAAAAGGGCTGTCCTCCCACCCCTGTAAAATAAACCTAAGCACTGTTAGAACACACGGCTTATTTAAACGCTTCCGCCTCTATTTACGGTCCTCGCAGTCCACGCAGGCAAACCCAGGAGCGCGATCCTACCTGGGAGTGGGGTTTGGAGGGCGGGAAAGCGCTCGCGCGAAGAACGGGCAGAATTTCTGCTGGCCCCCGGCAGTCCTCTGCCCACGTCGGTGATCCGGTCTCGCTTCTCCACGGGAGCTGAACGGATCCAAATGTTCCCAGTGGGCTAGCAGCTTCTGAGGGGGACTGGGAGCGCCTCCCCTCAGCTCCGCCCCCCACTCCAGCTCCCATGTATGGAAAATGGGGGTGGAGCGCGCTCTGCCCTGCTCGGTGCTTAGAGAACTAGTGAAGAGGACAGTGTGGGGAGGATGGAATCCGAAACGGGAGGAGGGGCCGGCAAACCTGGCCAGAGCAGCGAGGAGGACGAATCTCGACTGCAGGAGCTTGCACGGCCCCTGGAGGGTCACGCTCCGGAGGAGCGCGCAGTGGAGGAGGGCAGAGGAGAGGCGCGAAGCGTCAGGCTATCGGGAGGACCCCGTGCAGTCTTAGGAGGGAAGGAGCGGGGGAGGAAGTAGCGGTGGGAGATTACAGTGCAGCTGGGGGCTTGAGAGAGGCACGACTGACCCGTTCTTAAGCGCTGGGTCCTGCCTAGCGGCCAGGTTGCGGAGGGCAGAGACGCTAGAGGGCTCGGGCTGGGATTTAGCAGCAAAGCCTGGCGCTGGTTGCGGACCTGAGGACCCTCAGCCTCCCGCGCCCCCGCCACACGAGCCCCCTGTTTGGCTGCAGCGCGCTCAGCGGGCGGCGGGTCCGGCCAAACCAACGGCAGAAGTCAGCACCACGGACAGCTCCCGCTGGCTCTGCCGCGCCTCGGGCGGATGCTGTAGGGAGAGGCAGGGGACAACGATTAGAGAATTCCTGCCCCTCTCTGGATCCGAGGTATTTGGAGAAGTAACCTTGCCCGGTTCAGAGCTGCCTCGCCGCCTGCTTTCTGGACTGGGTCTGAGAAGAGTAGGGTGGAGTGGAGGCAGCTGAGTCGGGGGCTTGGGGGTCGGAGGGTCATGACTTTTGCTCCTCTTGCGGGTCACCGCACTCAGTGCCAAGTACGGCGTCGTCTTTTACCTCCTGGGGTCAGAAAATGCAGCCCTCCTGCCAGTTATTCTACACAGGCACACTTCAGTGTCTGGCCCAGTGACTCCCCGGCTCACCCTTTCTCTCGCTTTCTTTCTCGGCTACCGCGACCTGTGCCGTACTGCCTGTTTCTCCCAGCACAGAGTAGTTCCTGGACTGGGACTCGACCCTCTCCCTCCTTGAATGAACACCCACAGGCCTCTTCACTTCATTTTAGGATTTTAAAAAAATACTGGTAATTGCAGATTTCAGCTAGGGCAACAAAAGTAACAAACATTTGAGAAGCTTAGGCGTTTCATAAAATCTTCAGTAGTATTAAGTCCTCATTGAAATGCAAATTAGCCTGGCCCACGGGGCAGGAGCCAGGGGAGGAGGGGCCTTTGTAAGCTCCCTCCTTAGAAGCTATCTCATTCCCTCAGCCTCTTGTTTCCTTTTTCCAGAGGATGGAGCTTCATTGTCTCCTCTCTGATAAGTCCTTGTACTTTGTCCTCTGTGGCTGCAGATATTCCAGTTAGACTGGAAACTAATAGCAATTTATTCCATCCTCCAAATTTAAATGAATCACTCATATAGAAAAAAAAGTCAACACTGGAACAAAAGTAATCAATGTAATGCACCTCTATCCATCCTAAACTGACGGTCCCTGAGTTATAATCAATTTAGCTAAAACCAGTGTGTGTGTG